GTAGAAAAAAGCCGAAAATATAATTATGTATGGTAGTTGAGGATCCCAATAAAGGGGTGCTCGGAAATAAATCTATTTCCCATGGTCAAGAACTCAGACTGTCAGACTGTTTCGTGACAACTGCCTTATGCAAGTAGGGTTTGCCACGAGGCCACAGTCTCAGTGTCTGAGTTCACACTGAGCCAAGATCAGGTACACAAACACTAATCTCTCGTGGTCAAATCCTTCCTTTCCTGAAACACATTGTACCGTTCTACCCTTCAATTTAACTTTTAAGGAGGTTAATTAATGATTTAAAGTTCTCTTTGACCAAGGTCTGCACTCGTTGTTTAATGACTGGTGTTACATTGGAGAATCTCGTCACGACACAGCACTAATCTCTTCAGAGCACCTTAAGAAGGGACAATCAAAGGCACTTACTCCATGATTAGATCGTCATAAAGAGATTGACCCCAATGTGTTTGTGAAAAATGATGTACGGGTTTGAAAAATCTGATTTAGCTTCACAGTAAAAATGCTGCCAACACTCCTAATCTGAACTTTACTTTCTCAACTGTTAAGACTGTTAGCAGGAGAGTAATTGGATTTAGCAGAAATAACCCAACATCCTGTTCCTAGAGCTGCGCTTTCTAGTATCACGCTTTCTAGTATCACAATGTTATCCTTAATCGGAACTGGGCTGTTTTAAACTGCTGATGTTTGATTCCCACACAGATTTAAAATCTGTATTTGTGATAAATAAATGGCCTGTGTTCTGTGACATGATAGTCTAATACCTTTTGTCTTATAAATATATATGTAATTGGTCAGTTTTCTATGCTAGATTAAATGCATTGACTGTATAAGAAGTCGACGTAGTCATTGTTTGGGCTTTTGGCCATCACCATCTTGTTTTTTGCAACTATAACTGACACAAGAGCATGGAGCAAAGTACACAAACAAACTAGCCCGCCCTAAAGCATACCCTTCTTTTCGTCTATTTTACTCTAAATCGGACCACCTTTTACAAATTAAGGGAAACGCGATTGCTCTATTAGTCCCATGGAGGCAGAAGATGCATGTAATTCCTTGCTCAGAAGTCAAACTTGTGAAGTAACGGGTGGGTGTAACCTGTGTGATAGAGACAAATTGACGCACACACAATTGACAATCCATGAAACATTTACAAGAAAACTAAAAGATAGACACTATATTTACACTTGAGCTAGCAATTCCCACATATTTTGAAAAGACTGATTCAGTAAACCTGGGCCGAATACTTATACTGTATGTTAAGTGAGGTCTTTCTCTCTCTCTCCTGAGTGCCTCTCCCAGGTGCTACCAATCCCTCGTTAGTGCCTCAATAAAGGGCGGAGGAAAGCTGCGGCAGCTCTTTGCAACTGTGTTGTTGGTGTGTGTGCAGTGTGTTGTAGTGACTCTGTGTGAGCAGTTTCAATGGTGTTAATGGATTTGCCCCACAAACACATTTTTGTTTTTTGCCACTATATCTCATTATACCAGTGCCATTTCCTGTTTTCAAGAAAGTTGTCCTTAGTTTGTCTTTTGAATCTGCTGTTGAAGTGACTTTATTTTCAGGTCACGTAAAGTATTACGAATAGTCTGTGGTGTTGGTAAATATGAACACACAACTCCCATATTTAAAAAACTCAATCGATTAAAATGTGTTGACATAGTAAAGCTTAAAACAGTACTGATTATGCACAACATTTTCCACAACAAAATGCCTAATAACATTCAAAAGCAGTTCCAAACCACAGTCAGGAAATACCCAACTAGGCATCCTAACTGGTTGTGTAGCAAACCCTGTAGAACAACCATCAAATCACACAGCTGATCCATGATCTGAGTTAGAACCAGTGGCGACTGGTCATTAGGGGCAGGTGGGGCACAGCCCCACCTAGTGTCAGCAGAAAGTATTACACATAATGATTACAAAAAATGCAAAGAGATGCAAAAAAAAAAATTAAAAAAAATATAAAATATATTTTAAGGTCATGTTTAATCATCTGATTCGTCTGTACATTGCTGTTTTAGTCTGTGTTCTTCTAATTAGTGTCTACAGTGCCGTTTTGAAAACAACTTCAAAACATTCATCTGCTACTCAGTATTATGTATCTAATACCTAATATATATATATATCATTCCAATAGCTTGTATATAGACTTGTACTGCACTATTCCACATCATCACTTTATTTTATAACTATTTTTCTTTTTGTATTGCTCTTGCTCTTATTGTTATTATGTTACATTGTTGGAGAAGCCTGTGACATAAGATTTTCAACTACATAATTACTCTGTAGCTATGTCAGATTGACAATAAAGAACCTTGAACCTTGAACCTTGAACCGTGAGCCATGTGGGACAAAACCTGATAATGCCCCACCCTCTCACTGTCAAAGTGAACGGTGACTGTAAAAACTACACTGCGCATGCTCAGAGTATTTTTCAATGTAATGTGTGTGGCAAAAAAAAAAAGACCATAGGGGCACAGAGCTGCCATCCCCACCATACGTCATCTCACATCATTCAGAGCTGATTGGCTGTAAGTACGTGTGCCGCGAAAAGTGTGGTGTGTGAAGAGGAGACGAGAGAGCTGCAGTGACGCGTCCTAAAACCAGGAAGTAAGCTGCAAAAAAGCAATGAGGTTTCTCCATAGGATTTTAGAAAATAGCTCGAAATAAGATCTGTGGGAAACGTACCTGTTAGATAAATGCACGTTTTGTTCAGCCGGATAATATCCACATGTCTACCCTACTTTTATAATTTTTTTATCATAAATCTATCGATTAGATTTATGATAGACTTTTGAAACTACAAGAACATAAGGAGGACTTTTACAAAAAAGTTATAGACATTTTTGTCCAGAAGGATAGGCAAATGGACTTCATCTTCAAGTCAAGGTAAGACCGCACATTTTTGAAAATGGGATCTTACTAAGAGAGAACAATTCAATATTTAAATGATAAAATTACATTTTTTGGGTATCCTTTTGTTGAACTCTGTTTAAAATTAATCGAAGCATCAGACAAAAAAAGCTTTTGAAAATAATATTATATTTTGGTTTAGGTCAAAATATAATATTTGTAAACCTGAAGAGTCAGTGCCAGTGCCTCACCAGCCATGAACCTCACTGCACGTCACTGCAGAAGCTTATATATAGACATCTAAGTTTTTTGTGCCCCACCACTTTTGTACATATAAAAACGCCACTGGTTAGAACGTGGAATGAACTTCACCCAGACCATTCAAGTATCACTTGTCATAAACAATTCCAAACTAAATTAAAAAAAAATTCTATTTGCAGATTACTCCAGCTAACAAATATTGGGTATTCCCAGAATCCTTTTTTAAATTTATTTAGTGGGAATGCTGATACAGCATTCCCACTAAATGTTCTTCTACGGACAAAATTATTATTATTCCGCCGGAACTTTGCACCTCTTCTCCTCCTGCATTCAACATCGCAGAAACTCCGTTCAAACATCAAAACGTTCAGCTCGGTCGGGAATCGATTGCTATCATTTGGATTATTCATAACTTTCATAATTCCAGAGAAACATCCCATAATTCATCACATTTTTAACCATTGAAGTCAATGGAGAAAATCTTCAGACTTGAACAATCTTCATGCGACTTCAACTGCTAACTGTTCATTCATACTTTCACTCAGAAACCTCATTCCAACTTTAGAATGTATTTAGAGATATTAAGCATTGTTCAGACCTTGGTAAAGAGGTTTTCTTCAGATTTTAACATTAACTAGAGTGCGTGATGTCACAGCTAGTGTAGGAAATCTTGAAATTTGCCTTCATATTTCTTTTTAAAACTGCCATAATTCCCAAACCCTACATTCCTGAGACATAATTTTTCATGACAAACGTAGGAAAACATCTTGTAGCTTGAGAAATGACAAATAATTAAGCAAAAATAATTAAAAAAAATGCCTCTTGAGGGCATGAAGTGACAAAAACTTTCAACATGTCTCCATTAAAACCCATTGTAATTTCAGGCTGATATTTCCTCACAGCAGCAGCCGTACACCTTTAGTTAAACTGCCAAAAAGGCCACATTATTAACCCGAAAGTACACAAGAATTACACTTCAGATACTCAACTTCCTTGACATGCTTCACGTTTTGAAATTGTGCAGAAAATCTCCAGTTTTCTTTATTTCTTTGTACTCGTTCATTTCTATACGTTTTTGACGCAATAATGCCAATGTTATATTGATGCCAATGATGATTCACGGGAGGGCTACTTCCCATAAGCTATGCTTCATGAATTATACTTCTTTGTTTTTGTATGAATTTAGTAGAATAAATAAAAAAATAAAAATAATACAAATATATATATACGTTTTTGTGCATGTAAATGGTCTTTAAAAGGCTAAAATCCCAAAGTTCACGCCAGAGGGAGTACTGTAACTTTCTCACACACTCAACCCTCCTCCCCCCCCCCCTCCCAAAGGGCAGACTGGGCTCTGGTTTCAGACAGGGGAAAATAAAGCTGTTTTTGAACATTAAAGTATGTAAACATGTCACAGTAGGCACAAAATACTAACATGAACCTGAAAATTAGGATAAAAAGGGTCCCTTTAAACAATTCAATTTTCTCGCTTTCTTTTGTCCTCCCGTTTATCTTTTTGTTACTGCTCTTACCCTGTGAAGTCTTGGGGAATGTAACAGTATAGAAGTAATTTTTCCTCGCAGATTCATTACTTTTTAAAACCATTAGAGGGATGTGGATATTTATCTAATGATTTACAAAGAGAAAAAAAAGCAAGGTCATAAAAGAACATGGGTTCTTTGTTGCAGGAAATATTAGTTCCACTTTCTTTCTCTAATCATCTCACCACTCTTAACATGACATACATGTCAAACCCCTTGTGGGCGTAACAACAACATTGGGATCCACAGATCCAAGCCAAAAAGTAAACACCCATCTTTTGTTTAGGATATTATTGCCCTTAATGTAAGGAAAAAACTGAAACTCTTGAAAATAATTTCAACAATTTTTTTATTGCTTCATATTACTGAACCAACATTTGATAGACCTTAAAGCATATACCTCTATGATACAGTACATGCCACTGCCTTATTTTGCACATATAAAAATAGAAATCATTTGCTTCTAGAAATTGAAATTGAAGACCAAAATTCGAAGTGTCCAGCTCAGTTCAGGAAGATACCTAAAGGTCACTTTATAGCGTCATGTATCTAATGTGAGCATTCCACAAAGCAGCACTACAGCCGTCGGCACTAAAGTTAACATCATTTACAATCCATATCAATAGAAAAGCAGGTTGTTTGCTAAACTCCACATGAAACACAAATGCAGTGTCAAAAACAAATCATCTTTTAAGTCAAACCCATTGTGCAAAATCACCACAGTGAAATACTGATTTATCTTTATGTGTCAGTGGGAGGGAAATCAAATGTGTTGATTGTGTTTCAATGGATTCTGAAATAATTGCAAACTGTGGTATAAAGTGCAGCAACACATTCAAACAATTGCATGAGAAAAGCTAAACTTTACTACCAGACCATTATTGTCCCCCTTAAGAAATAAAAGTGGAGAAGAAAGAACCTGTTGGAGAATAAGATCTGTTTCTATTGGTAGTTTGATATAAATGGCTAATGCTCGTTATTTTCATTTAAACTATGCTATGTATGCCCCAACACCCTTGATATTTTATGAAATCAATTATTTTAGAGTGATTAGAAATATAACTTCTGACTGAAAGTTCTGAAACTTGCATTGGGATCACCCAAGTGTCCATCAAAACTGAAATGATCCGAACCTCAATTTTCTTTATTTTTTAAATTTGTGCCCCCTGCTAAGACATAATTCCAGCATCTAACCCTTTGTGAAAAGATTTTATTTTTTTACAACACCTTAATTAGTGAACTGATCCAGGCTATTATTTTTACAATTTACAGACGTTATGCTAAGCTAAGCTAACCATCTTCGTACACTGTGCTGAGTGAGTTGACTGTTTCCTGTCATATACACATGGTCAAATCCTAAATACCAGAGTACCCCTTTAATATCTAACAGAAGCTTGTTTAGAACTTAAAGTGAATGTGAATTTGTATTCACTCTTGTTTCTATGCATGTTTTGGCAGTTTTTTTTTCTCCAACATTGTTCTTCAGTTGGCCATTAGTTCTCAGAGTCGTATAAGCCACTAAGGATTTCCCCACTTTATCATTTGGTTTTCTTTTTTATATATAATTTTAGGCTGGTAAAAATCTGAGCAGCGGACTTTAGAGGAGGCTTGCAGGTGAAATCTGCGAAAGGTGAAAAAAACATTAGCTTTCAGGGGAAATGGGTAAGACTGGGTTGGACCAGCTAACCCCTTTTCCTTGATTGTGTAAAATCCTTCATAATTTCTTATATAATGATTTCAAACCCAAGTAGTTTACTAAATTAGGTTGCACCAGTGAAACATAAGGAAGATCTTAACTAGTGAAGACCTCAGTAATGATTAAGCATTTGCTAGGAAACAATTTGCTTCATCCAATCAAAAGCAATCGACTGTGTAAACAAGAAGTCGCCTAAATAGTTTTACGGGAAAATGTAACTGCCAATCATTTATAAATGTTATGAGTTGTTTTAATTATGTCTGCATACGTGGAAACGTTTTTTGAGTAAGTAGTATTCATGCAGTAGTCTGTATAGTTCACTTTCTCTCCGCAGGGAAATTCAGCGTTCATAAAGTTGTTGGAACAGCTAATTAGCAGCAATATTTTTCATCCATCAGAATAAATATTTCTGTAAAATCAGTGTCAGTCTTGGATGTAACACAGGCAGAAAGGTTGTGAGGCTGTTTTTCCAGTTACATTTTTTGTAAAAAACCTCACTTAATGACCTCTCCTCTCCTGTAGGAACGTACTACACATTCCAGACTGTTTTTAAAATGAGAACATCTTAAGAAAAAAACATGTCCTCGGCTGTTTCCAGAGTGTCAAAAAATAAAATGTTCCTTCTTTACTCCTTGTTATCATCTAACAGCACACTCCAGAAATGTAACACTACAAATGAATTTAAAAAACACGTCTAATAAAAACATCTAAAAAAAGAAAAAACACAATCACAATGCTACATCTTCATGTCCCTCATTATCACTGACAACCTCAATTTGATGAAGGGTGTCATTTGAGACGAATCAACAATCGAAACGGAAACGCAGAGGCGTTCCCGTGCAAATATCGCCTCAGCAGCTCTGAAATGTCAAAAACGTCCAGTTAAGAGACACTTCAGTGTGAGCTGGACGACATTTCACCACACGCATTCAAAGGGAAGAACAATCTGAGGTAAAAGCTGTGCTCAACTGACCTTACTTCAAACCTATTTCAAAAAATTATAAAATTACAGCTTAAAATGTCAGCTCAGACAAAAACACATTAAATAGGGCGGACAGTCCACAGCTTTTGTGATGAGCTCATCGAAATTGAAATGTTCCATGAAGAATTGTTTGTCTTCACTCCTCAATGTCTCACAGCAGTAGTTGAATAAGAAGACTAGGCTGCAGGTGAACGTTTAGAGATTGTTTGAAGTTGGCATTTGACAGCCAAGCACGGAGCAAACTATAAAAAAAGTTTCACCACGGGAGCTGAGGGAAACTCAGATCTCAGCGCTGTGCAGAGCGAGTCAGCTCCAGCGTTTAAGAGGGGGAGCTGTGCGAGGAGGTGGACATCCTCCTGCCGTTCTTGCGCTCATAATTCACCAGACACTGCCCCACCAGGTATCTGGAGAAACAGGAAAAGTTGTGAGCAAATCCTTTTTTTAACATCATTAGTAAAGTACATGCACGTCTTCGCTGGTTGTAAAGCTGAAATGTTGTTTTAATCTTGTTAGAGGGCTTTTTTATTTTCTGATTTTATATCTGGTAAGATCCCTTTATTTATAGTTTTCCCCTGGGCCACACATTTGTTGCCCACATGCCACTTAAAGTTCACCAAAACAGTGTGCTCTGTTGCGTATGCATTATGCAGGGAAAAAAACTATTTTTCACATCTTCCTATCATAAAGCCTGTTCACATGAGCCAAGAGATTCTGCTTCACAAAAACCAGCAATTAGACCCATCCCCTGCTCTGTCTGGGGAAGGGTCTAATTGCTGGCCCAATAAATACATTATTAAAAATACATCCTACGTGCTGATGCTTTTCAGTAACTGATTTTCATTTGGCAACTCCAGATTCCAGGTCATTTGTTCCCTTTTTAACTCGGCCTGCCTCGGGAGTCTTTATGGTCAAGAGCAATGCTGACTTTCCCTACATCACGATATATACAAATATTTTGCCATATCACATAGCCTTATTGGCAGAAATGCGTGAATCAAACAGCTCCTTGAGCTTCTGAATATACTGACTTGTCGTTCTTGATGTGCTCGTAGAGGCGTTTGAACTGTCGTATCTGGAAGAACAGGACGGCCAACAGAATGACCACCATCATCAGGAGGGGATAGATCCTCCGCTCCACCAGCGTCTGCATCTCTGGTGTCACACCTACAGAGGAGGGGGGGGGGGGGAGGAATATGAGACACGTCATTACTCTAGGAACTGATGTTATATAGTAAATGAAAGACAAAATAAATATGAATTAGACTTTAGCTCGCACAGTGGATCAACACAGACGCGTGTACATACATATAGACTCACCAATAAGTGGTGTGATGCCTATAGAGATGGTGTAGGGAACACTGAGAGACAGCAGCAGGACGCAGATGACGGGGGCCGCCAGACCCTGCACGATGAAGTGGAGGTCGATGTTGCGGATACCGTTAGCGTACACCTGTAGGAAAGAGAGAAGTAACTGCTGATTGGTTGCTTTACTTCATTCCAATGCCAGTTAAACTACTTCTGTGCTTGAAAGTGACAGCTACATTTCCATCTTAGAATCTGCTTCTATCGATAGTTTTAAACATCTTTGATTAAACAGTGGACTAAATGGATCATGAAAAGAAATATTTCCTTTTTATAATCTGCATAGTGTATTTAAAGGTCGGTGTTTCAGTTTGTTTCACAATTGAATAAAGCTGGAAGGATGTGAGACTGACCTGCTCGATGACGGTTTTGAGCCACCACTGGGGGCCCATCAGTGTGATGGCAGCGATGATTTTAGCATGAAGCACGCCCAGGGCCCAGTCCTGTCACACACAGACACACAATCAATTAAGCAAGACACAATGAGGGTTGTCCGAAAAGTATGGCATCAGGGCAGTAACACTGCGCTGAGGCCGTCTGAAATGAGCCTAACAGCCTTAAGAAAAAAAAGGTGTCAAACTGGAATGTATTAGGAACATTTTGAAAAAATTAGATCTAGCCTGACATTCATTCACAAATTTGAAGTTTCCATACTCCATACATTGAATTTTAAATGCCAAGATGAGAAAGCAGGAAAAATGTAAAATGTATACTATCAGGTGGTTTCATCCCACATATTTAAATGCATACAGACTCCAGCCGTACCTGCCAGGGGTAGAAGAGAGGCGTCTGGTCCAGCTGCACTCTGAGAGGAGCGACGATGACCAGTTCGAACAGCAGACCCAGCAGCAGAGGGATCACCCCGGCCAACAGCACGGCCACAACGAGGGTCTTTAGGATCTGTTTGCACCAAGACATCACATTAAAATAACATCCATTTGCCACATTAGGCCCTGTGTCCACAGAGCGACATTTGCTGGCACAAAGAAAACGACTCGTTGAAAACAGTAAAAGTACAACCAGTGCCTGCCCGGCCAATCTACTCACACAACAGCTTCTTTGTCTTTGTTACAAAACTCTGTCTAAAAGACTTGGTCAAAGCAAGTTTGTCCTTCAATTTGTAACGTGACGTCACCAGCACTTTTCTTAATGTTGCGTAGGAACACTCAGAAAAAAGACGCAGGGTGTAACGCTTTTTATGTGAGGGCATTCGCTCTCTCCTCATTAAACATGTTTGAAGAGACGAAGAAAAAGGGCGCTTTGTAGACCCAGCCCCTATTACCGGCAGAGCTTATTTTTGCCATTTTTACCATGAGGCTCCACTCGTGGACCTTGATCAGGATGATGGTGCGCCCCTGGGGCATCCAGGACAGCACCACGGTGGCGGCTCGGATGGACAGCCAGCAGATGTACAGGCCACTGGCCGCCGTGTACAGCTCGTGAACCAGGGCGCTGCCCATCCAGAACGACATCAGCCAGCGGCCAGCAAACACTGGGAGAGGGGGGGGAGACGTGTTAGATAGGAGCCAATTACTTGGAAATGAAATTAAAAAGGTGGAAGGCAGAGAAACTTACCCGGCAGTGTGAGGCAGAGCAGACTAGCCAGCAGCAGCGTCACACACATGAAGACGACCAGGAGGACGATCTAACAACACAAAGGAACAAAGAAAGTCAGCTGTGCAGGAAAAATGAACAGAATAGAATTCTGACTATTTATCCAAATGAAGTCCATATTTTTAGATTCATTAATTGAATTTATTTTAAAGACCTTTTAAGGTTCTCCTGGTATTTGATATTAAATAATATTGTGAGTCACCTTGAGGGAGAAGTCGACGGGCCGGTGGTACGCCTGGAAGCCGATAGGACCGCCCTGCTGCAGAATGGCCTGATGGGCAGCGTGAAGCCCCTCCCCCAGGCCAGGGAACCTGTTGTTATGGCGATCGGGAGGGTTGTTGTTTGGATTATCATCATCATCATCTTCATGGTCTCCCAGCAGGTAGGAGTGAAGGTCACTGTGGGGAGCCATTAGAGCGAAATTATTTGAGTCTTATTACTATTGGATGTTTTGATTTGCCCCTGTTATATGAACACTGATTGTTCCTCTGTGGCCAATATGTTGTTAACAATTATGGTACACAGAATATAAAGCCAAACTAAAACTAATCACTTTTCTTTATTCAGGCAAAGTCATATTTACTTTCTTCAATGTATTAATCAGAGCAGGCTCCCATTGCATGCCATCGTTCTGATTTGTTCCTAAACTACAGTGTGTGACCTACAGCATGTATCCAGTTGTGAAGGTCCAGGCGTGGATGAGGCGTTTGAGCCACTGGCGGGTGTGGCCCTGCTCCAGCAGCGCTGGCAGCACCACCTGAAGCAGCAGCAGCTCCAACGACAGCTCGCTGACGGGGGCGTCGCTGTGGAGACGACACATAAACCAAACTCAATTCAGTTTCTCATACACTGTCAATATAACCAGTAACAGCAGAAGCTTATTTCTTCTAGCAGCTTCCTGTTCTTGTTAAGCCTGAATAGTCAGGAAATACAACTGTAGCTTTGCAATACTGTGAGTTAAACGACAATGTAGCGTTGTACCTGTAAAGCATGACGTTGTAGGGCAGGAAGTTTGGGAAGAGCAGTTTAATGATTCGTATAGGAAGCCAAAGCATCAGCAGAACTATGGAGCCAAACACCACCTAGAAAAATACACACAGAAAAAACACACATTAATGTTTGTTCATTCTATACTATCGCACGGTAAACAGAGGAACCAGTCACATTAGGCTGCATTCATTGCGCGAATCCTATCCTATTTTTATGCTTACTGAGGATACGTCACATCAATGGATTTTCATTTCTATAGTTTCTGTCAGTTAACCTCAATAACCATCATTTTACACTTTAAATCGATTGCTCCTCTTTGAAATGTGCTTGATTTTGGTCATTTTTGCACTTTAAGTATATTTTGATGGCAATTATTTTCAAGTCAAGTAATAAGCGTTATTGGCATTACATTTGTTATCGATTTCAATGTGACTAGAATGTAACAATGCAGACAAAACAAAAACAATGCAGGTGTTGACTACTACTACCGATTATAAACAAGATATCAAATATTGTATAAATAACTTCTACTGATACCATTTTTAATTTTAAATATTTTGTTTTTAAAATGTTCTACTCTATTACAGCATATCAGAGTAAACATAGATCTGGGCCTGGTTAGCCCGCAGTAGGTTTGAGAGTGAGCAGAGCAGGAGGATACTACACTGACCACAGAGAGGATGAACCTGCGCAGGTGTCGGTAGATGGGCAGGTGGATCATCTCCTGCACCGGGTTAAAGTCTGGATCGTTCAGGTTCCTCAGGAACCACAGCACGCCGGGCCGGAGCACCTGCAGCCACAAAGAAATGTCAAAACATTTCATAAGATATAAAAGGGGTTTTACAGTTAAGACAAGTTGCAACACATGGCCAAGTCCTCCACTGACCTCTCGGAGCAGCAGGATGAAGGAGGCGAAGTAGAAGACGTAGACCATGCCCACCAGCCAGTGGAGGAACATGGTGGTACCGGGGGCCGAGTCGAAACTCTGCTTCCTGTCTTTCAGAGTCGCATCAAACATTTCCTGCAATGAACATGGGTTTAATTATGCTTTCATTACCAAAAGAAAAGTCTGGTATTTGCCGAACAAATGTGATATTTTGAGGTGTTTGTGATCACATGTGTTAAGAGTGCCATGATTGCATTTAATTAGTTTGCCTAGTCATTAAGGGCCAGCACATATCACTGGGTTTGCTCTGCATGATTGTCTTACCAGTGAGCAAATGTCGAGCCACCAGCCACAAATCAGCGGGAACAAGCCTATCTCCATGACAACCAGCAAGGACACCTGCAACATGTAACAAAAAACAAAGCAATTAAGTTTCTGGTTTCATGATTTGGTCGTGTAATCATAATTTACCTAATTATGTTTTTTGCCTGAAAGCATTCCAAATTTGATGTAAAAAAAAAGAAAGATGTTTGTAAACATCCCAATCTTGCATCTTTAATTTACCTTGACGACGATGTAGAAGACACCCACGAGACGTCTGCATCGCTGGAACCTTACTAATGAAGCAAACGCCTGAAGAGGGCGAGTTAAGGACTAACACCACCATCTTAAGTTAATAACATTTAGTTTATATATCAGGCATTCAAATAAGTAAGTATTTTATACAAACTCCTGGAGACAAAACAGACACCTGACATTAGCTTGTGGCTTCCTGTATGGCAACACTCACATTAGAAAGTAGATCAAATAAAGAAATATTGAACAAATATGCACTAAAATCAAACAACAGTTTACCGATCATACAGTACCTAAAGTGTCTGAGGAATACTTTTGGGTCATTTCATGAATAAAAGTTATTGTTGCGTTTGAAGAGGATACATGGAAGAGTATGAGATTTCCAGCCAGGAGGATGTACCCCAGTATGGTGGTGACGAGTCCATCGAAGTGGGAAGCTTTGATCTGGAACCATATATCATCATTTAAAAAAATGTCATCACTGCATAGAAAACCTAGTTTCATTTCATTTGAATAGTATAAATACCCCCCAGATGCACTTACATAATCTTCAAAGCCCAGTCCAACCACGGAGAAATGGCCAATGTGATACGGGCAAAAAGCTAGAGGGAAATACGAAGGCTTTGTTAGGATCTGTGGTTTAGTGGAGACAATAAAATCATATTTATTTTCTTTATAAATACATTTAAGAACAGTACAACATTAATATGATGAATCAGAATGAGAGCATTTGTTATCCCTGTTGAAATTGGTTTTGTGAAAGTATAGGTATAACGAAGTCTCACCAAAGACGAGGATGACGAGGGTGTTGAGAGAAACCACCCAGAACACATGCTCCTACAGGAGAAACACACACACAAGCGTCTCAGTCAATGTTAAACAATTCAAACACACAATGAAACAATGTTTACTGTATATTTGTATTTCAACATGTATATTTTGTAACCTTTTTAATGCTGTTTTATTTCTATTTTGGGTTTTACATTTTAGAATTCCATATTTCTGCTCTTTCAATTTCTCGTGTGCAATGCCTTGTCTTTTATGCTGCTGTAACGCAAACATTTCCCAATCGATAAAGTACATCTTATCTTAAATCAAATCACGAAAGACAAAATATTGAGGCAGACTAATTTTATGACTACTACAATTTTATGACTATGTGTAACGAATCAACAATAAAAACTAGCATGTGTTTAAACATTTTCGTGGACCTGATGCTAGAAATAACTATGGTAATGCTAATTTGCCTAGACGTGGCAAGTTATGTGGCTACTTCAGGGTGCTACATTTATGGGAAATATTTGAGGTAAAAATGTACCAGAATCTGCCTCTAAGGGTCACTTTAAACTGTGTGTGGAAGAAGAAAGAAAGGGTGAGCACTTACCAAAAAAACTAAAGAGCCATCCAGCCCAAGCATCTGGTACACAAACAGAAAATAATGTCATAATGATGCTTTGTAATACATATACAGTACATAAACATGCTACTAGTTTAACTAACTGCTGCTATTTCTAAAACACTTCTAAACTCTCTCTCAACTTTTTTGTCAAAGAAGACAACATTCCTGGAAGTGGCCAAAATCTGAGAAAGTGCTGCTTAAAAGGTAGGGTAGGTAAGTTTGAGAAACCGGCTCGAGATACACTTTTTGTTATATTCCATGGAATGCTCTTAACATCCCGATAGCAATGAATATCTTAAGTGCTTTGACAAAAAATCCATAAAAAAATGTCATCTGTGGAAGCCGTAGTACTGTAAAAAGCACGACCAATCATTTTAGCCGGCCCGGCTAAAATAACTGGATGGCCTACCTGCCTGTCAGCCTTCCATCTGTGCACAAACTTATCTCGTGCCCTCATTGGTCATGTGCGCGTACGTGTGTGTTGGAGGAGGGGCTCTGTAAGGAAGTGGCAGATTTTTTCCGGCTGTGTATTTTCAAATTCTAGCACACTCGAGCTGGTTTCTCCAAAATTACCTACCCCACCTTTAACTGCTCAAGATGTATATTTCCTGTCACAGAACGTCTTTTTTTATTACCCTAAAATAATTTTGCATAATAAAAGTGTGTGTGGTCCTGAGTCTAGTATAAATTATTCAGTGTGTACATTCTTACGGTTAAAATATTAAAAACCTGTCTTTCAGGCTGTGGTGCCCAACGCTATTTAACTATATTTTATTACAGTGTCCTTAAAGATTTTTTGTTTTATATGGAGATTCTTTGTTTTATATTTTATGTATGCACCATGACATCAAGTCAAATTCCTCGTATGTGTGAACCTACCTGGCAATAAACCTGTTTCTGATTCTGATTCTATTAATATCATTTAGGATTTGAAATTCCTGTAGTGTGCACCAGGCATTATACTTTGCTTTTGTAGTTTTGCTACAATACACAATTTTTTGGGAGGGTGGCTGGAGACATACAGTATGGACAAATAATAGTCTCCCACCCTCTCCCAGGTCAGCTCCTCTGCTGCGCGGTCCCACTCCAGGGCATTCCAGTTCAAATCTTCTGCGAAAGATAATCAGAAACAACTGAAACAGTAAGCAACACCTGTGATGTGCAGTTAAAACAGGTCTGTCAAAAACACTGGTTCCGACATAGTTTACATGTACTCAATCTTAAAACCATTGTTTAGAGGCATTTATCTATTTGTTATGTATTTAAACTGGCCATATAGCTGCATAACATTTCATAAGTTTTACATCCTCTGGGCCTAGTCTATGTTTTTACATCCACACCGACCTTGTCCTCCGTTATTGGCATCAGCAGCGTCCTCCTCCCTGCCTTCCTCATCGTCCTCCTCCTCTTCGTCTTCCTCCCCATCATCGTCCTCATCGTCAAGTTCGGCTTCATCTCTGCCAGCTTCAGGTGGGTCGGCGGGAGGCAGCCCGTCTGGGGCGGGGTCTGCAGGGGCCGGGGCTTCTGCGGCAGCCTCTGCGTTGACGCCAGCGTTAGCACCAGGAACCTGAAGAATCATGAGATAACAAACAACATTTTTGCTGAGAGGCTGAGGTTGGCTTTATCTGACGCGATCACATAAGGTTAATAACTAACTGACAAACTGCCCCCCCCTGAAATTCAAGGTGTTTTATTTATTTTTTATATATATATATATAGCGCCAAATCGAAACTGAAATCATCTATCTACGCTCCGCCCCGCCCCGCCCGCGCACTCAGAGAGAGAGAGAGAGAGAGAGAGATAGAGATAGTTGTACAAAAATAAAGTAATAAATCATTCCAATGTGTACTATCGGACAGTAAAAAAAAATACAGTTTAAAAGGGGAGTGATTAGTAAAATATGCATAAATAAAAAGAAAGAATGCTAACTAGGTAACATAAGATAAGAGAGAGGAGTTTATAAAATAAACAAGTTTAAATTATTTGTTATTGGTTGTGATCATATTCTAAAGATGTTTGGATTATTGAAATAAATACGGTTCTGTTTCATGAGTGTTGAGAGCTGTATCCATGAATCTCTTAACTTGTGCTCAAAGTGCACCAGATTGATGCATTTAACTTCAACTTTAAAAAAAAAATCTTCCCGAGGGAGCGTGCCTCCGGACCCCCAAGAGGATGTGAGGTCCACCCACAAATAAAGCAGGTTCACATGGAGAGGATACTAGATAAGTTTGCCAGGCATTGTACACTACACATTTTCTTGGATTGCACCATAGTCCTAACAAATATTTTGTTAGAAAGGCAAGAAAAGGGATTCAAATCGAGAACTATTTCCATTGCGGAGGGCCCACAGAAACCCAGTTTTGTGTCCCCCCCACTTCTCAAACCAAAGTAACTTTCTCCCCCCCCACCCTGCACGGATCGCCCTCATCGGACCGCCCTCATCCCGCCCTGGCAGCACCCCCCCAAAGCAGTAAACCTAGGGGATTTATCCAACATAAATGACCAATTTGTGTAAATTAAATGATATTGCTCTATTGTGGTACGTCTATTTCGTGATTATGTTTTATATCTACATGTACTGTGTATTTTGTTGTTTTTGTTATTCAAAGCAGTGTATTTTAACTACACACATGAAACACAACAAGGAACAAGATTTGAACATGATATATGGCAATTGCTCCCCCTTGTGTTTTCTCTCTCTCCTCTCCTCTTTGCTCCCTTATCCCAGCTGCTCCTGATCTGTTCCTGGCTCTGCTTTGATCAGGTGTTCCAGATCTGCCATTATCTCTGATACTTAAGGAAGGCTGGAGGAGAAGACGCCCTTTCTTGTTTTGCTGCCAGACACAGTGGAGTCGTCCTTAGCTTAGGATCTTTCTCTTTATTTCACCCTTATTCCTTACTGTGGTCCAGTTTTCGCAGCTTTGTTTCTTGTATCATTTATGTGTTTCTCTTTAGTTCAGAGGGGGAAGCTTTGGGTCTGACGGCCCCTGGTGTGGCTGGCCTGGACTTCCCTAATGTTGTTACACTAGGAGACGAAACGGGTGTTATCCGCTATAGTTCTTTATCGTATGGACGGTTCGTCCACACGAGGCTGTAACGGAACCGCGGAAACGGAGCCCTCAAACGATAACGCATCCCAAAGTGGGAAGGTCTGGTAACGTAACGCTTGCGGCACCGTGTGTACGCCCTAAACTATCATAGCCCCGCCTCTCCCCACTTCTCCTGCTCACCCCCGCGTCACCCGCGTCTTTGCTGATGTGTTTCGCCAACAACAACAACAATGGCGGATCACAGGGTTGCGTTCGTGCTCCAGACGCTACTGACCATGATACAGATGTTAGTGCAAAATCTACAGCTCCTCTACCACAACCATCAGCAACAAGTGGACATGGAGAACTACATGAACTACATGTTGCTAAAACCACCGCGGAGAATAAACAGAAGGACAACCAGGCAACCATGGCAACCATACTCAGGGGGTCTTATTCGCTGCTTTTGTTGTATTTTGTGGCGGAAGTACAGCGCCACTTACAGGCCCGGCATATGTACTACAGCGTCTCCAGCGGGTCGAGCGGTCTCGTGTGGACGGACACGTTTCTTGAGCCGATTCCGTGTGGACGGAAGACTTTTTTAATATCGACTTCGGTTCGTTTTCGTCTCCGTGTGGACGGGGCCTCATATAGTTGGTTAAGTTTGTCTCAAGTGTAACGTCTCAAATATATGTTGCGGGTGACAAACTGAGCCACTGAGTTTTTGTTGTCTTGTGGCTGTAACACTATAAACTCTGTGCAGCACATCCATGTCAAGCTCTGTGGAACAATGTTGAAGCAATTGCATATTCCCTATCAAATAAAAATAAATTAAACATTTTGGAAAGCAGTCCTGAAGCTTAACAATCTGCCTGCAGCAGCAACCGCTAAAAATGAATGTTGCAGCTGCAAATCCAGCATAGAAGAGCAAAATATAACACAGGCGGATTAACATTCTGTGTATTCAGGTGAAGAACCTTATCTTAAGTCCTATTTTGCTACAAAGATTTTATAACAAAACTGCATTTTGTCCATAAATGCAATTAATAGTAGTGATAAAATAACAGTGACTCAACACTGAATATAGTAATGATTACCATTTTGGCAATTATTGTGCAACTGAACTCACCTCATTAGCTGCTGCAGGGCCGTTCTGCTGGTTAGGAACCAGAGGCAGTTGATTCTGCTCTAACCACTGGGGAGCGCCACCGTGGACTATTTGCTCTCTAAGCCACACCAGGCTGATGAAGGCGCACAGCGTGCAAGTGACCACAAAACAGCCCTGGAGGCAGTCAGCAAGCAGGTTTTGCCTGCGAGGAAGAGAAGAAACATTATGATTTGACCAGTGATATCAAAACTATTTAACCCATTACTTTGTTAGAGTTGCACAAAATAAAATATGGGGGATTGAGTATAGGGAAACTAAGGAAACACCAATCAGATCTTAATCTTCTTGATGGAACTCCCGTGTACACAATATATGGAGACTTACAACATACAGGATACAGTTTTAGAGAGAAGGGGAAAGAAAACGCAAACTTACGTTGAAAGCATATCTAATGGCAGCGTAAGGAGAGAGCTCACAGAGCCGGTAAATAAACACTTGTAGATACGACCTGTTAGAAAGGCAAACGTATAAAAAACAACAATCAGAAAAGTATTTCTTACAGTGACATCTACTGTAAAAACTTAAAACTATGATCCAAATTCTCAAATGTTATTGGAATTATCTGTTTGTTTAACACTGAATAAAACCTAAAAAACACAACACAAACAACAAAAAGGAGTTTTTACAATGGACTGGTGTGACTTACATGCTGTCAGAGGCACCACCCCTAGCCAGGCAAAGGCCACCAGTGTATAATGGAACCAGTATCTGATGGCTGTTCCAATACTGGTGACCAGCCCTGCAAAGATGTCCTGGACAGGCAAGCGGGATGGCATGTCTGGAGAGTAAACTGGAGAAAGAGAACAGGAGAGGTAAAAGACAGATGGTGGAAGTGAGGGGGAAGAATTGTCATAAGTCAAAACCACAAGTTAATACATTTGTTGTGTAATGATCCAATTCACCACCAAACAACTTACTTGGTGTAAATGCAAACCTGTGTTTGCATAATTCACAGTATTCTTTTCTGCTGTGTTTCAACCACTGCAGTAAGCTGTGAAAAGAAGGAGACATATTGAGTTAACTCGCTTAATCCTATAGAAACAAGAGTTTTGATCACCGCATTAAAGTCCAACAACATTTTCATGTTCTTATGAATATGGTAGTTAATATTGTTTTCAGGTGTGTAACTACTTCTCAATTGTATTCGGGTACATTCCAGTAGAGTTATGTCTTTGTTTGAGTCCCTGCTTATTTCTAACTTAGAGAATGATTTCCTCATGTTGGAATACACTACAACAACATTTTAACAGATTGACAGCTTGGAAATCTAAACAGATAGCAACCTACATTTAACCTTAAAAAGGTATTTTAGGCAGAGAAAAGACAAAGGAAAATAAACAAACAATACACTTTTAAATGTAACTTGGGTCACTGAACGTACCATTCTTGATGGATAAACTTGATGCTGCCAGTACAGACACAGGGGTGGAAGAGGGGCTTGTCCTGACTACCCTCCGACCGACATACCCGACAGATGTCCGCTGTAGGCACACAACATCATAACATGAAATCATACTCCTGAAATATTTCATTTCATTAACTTGGCATGTTGCATTTGTATCTACAGATCAAGATTTAAAGTTTTTACAGTCATAGGCACATAGCTACAGTGTAGTTGTAATGATAATCTTAACGTTTTTACAGTCAAATGCACATAGCTACAGCATAGTTGTAATGACAAACTTAAGTCCCAGGCTAACAGTGCCATACACAATATACTTAGAACAAAGAAATAAGTAAAATAGTACACTAGTACAATGAATAAAGTGCAAGTGATACCATAGTGCAAGTAAATGCAGTAGTAATTTGCCTTAAGCTAAACTCATGACACACCTTTAATGCCAAAAGTTGAAAATAATTTTAAGACCATGCAAGCTTTCAGCATACTTTTCTCTCTCAATGGTTTCAGGAGTTGCAACTAAAAACATTTGTGATAGCATTTGTAGGTCAATGACAGTAGGGCAAACTGCAATCCTTGGATTACCTGTGTCACTGGATGACCAAAATAAAATGACTATAATTAGCCCAGGGTAAAGAGCATAGACATGTGGGGATACCCTGAGTATATTTTTGACTGACTTATTAAGCTATAGCCTACTCATATTAACTAGTGCACTATATCACAAAGTGTGAGCGCAGAAACGAATGGCTGTAATGCATTTCAAGCATAAATAGTGCTCAGAGTAAATGTGTTGTTTAAACGTACCAGGAATGACAATAGTAAGATTACAACTGTATGTTTTAGAATGTCAATTACATTGTATTCTACATTGTAACACGAGCATTGGTCAACGTGGCAGGTCAACCCAGTGTGTGAATGTAACGTAAACTAGGTTAGTTATGATACTGTACGTAATAACGGTTGTTTTAAACTATACTAACGTGTTGCCGACGTTAATAATAAGCTATTAATTACTTTAATGCAAAACTGCTGTCTTCTAAGATGTCACATAATATATTTGTGGACAATACAACGTACGTTTTAGTGAACGCAAACAGAAACCTAACGTTGCTGACTTTACAACAGCTGATAGCTAACGGGTGTAAGTTGAAGCTAGTTAGCTGGCTAGCTAATGCTAATTGGCTAGCGGTTTCTAGAATTCTAGTGAACCTCGGTCAAAGTGAAAGGAAATGTAGGAGCATGCATTCCCACTGGCAGCAGTGACATGGTGATTTGAGTGTGATACAGACAATGTTAGTATCTTTATTCACTAGTTAAAGCGTACAAGTTAATCAAGTTTTAACATTAGCTACCTTCCTCAGCGGTGTCCATCTTGACTGGCTAATAAGGCAGCCCTGCTCCACAACAGTCAGGCCAGTCAGTCAGTAAAAAGAAAGCGACAACCGCCTGCTATCTTCATGTAAACATTTTAAATTATTGTTCAGTTCAAGCTCCGAAGGTCTCGACGAGACCATGCGTTTCGTAATTAAATAAAGCCTTTTCTCTTCATAGTACTTCAGCTAGCGGTCAGGACATGTCCAACTCCACATCGTGCTGTTATGTGGTGTTTGCACCATTAGGTGGCAGTCAAACGCAGTCCACCAGCTTGGTAATGACCATACTGTATATAATTACATTACTTTATTTCATAAATAAACATGTATAACAATATGACACAGTTCAAGAGGTTTTCTGGTTATCATGCAAAATAATGTTTGTACAATACAAACAAAGTTCTACCAGACAGGGTTGCTTTTATTTTCAATCCACTTGGCAATATTAGATCTTTGTCTTTCTGTAAAGGAATTACACTTTCTATAAATAATCAAAGTTATGCAATTAAACATTGCAAATAACTTATACTTTCTCATTAATCATAGTTTACGTTATCTTTAATCCTTGACGTATCAAACATTAAAAGCCCAGTTGATCATTCACCCCAAAAGTGAACATGGGAGTAAAATAATCCTGTTATAACTGTAAAATAAGATAATAAGTACTTTATTGATCCCAATGTGGGAAATCTTTGCGTAGACAACTGACTTTGAGTAAGTGTAACCACCCACCAAGGGCAGTGTCAACCAGTCTTATTTTCTACTTTGCCCAATATCGTACTCGGACATGTGGTGTAAAGACATAACACTTTGTAGCACTTTCTTTTTAATCAGTCCTTCCCAGCATCTTCAGGCCGACCCCACAGTAGAATTGCGTGGATTTAAAAGAAAAAAAAAGAGATTGTCCCAGTGTTGCAGAGCATCATAATAATAATAATAATAATACATTTGATTTATATAGCACACTTTAAAAACAACGTCATCTCAAGGTGCTTCACAAAGCTAAAATGACATTATTTTTCAACAAGATAAGAGTTACATTTATGTGGGTGAATCTGGTTTATCTTTGGGTTCTGGTGTTGTTTCCCTTGTCATGCCATTTTGCAAGTGTGTTTTAAATGTCTTGGCATCGTACACCCAAACAGTGTCTATGCCCTCTCCGGCGGTGCATTCAGGGACCCAAGTAGGAAAGGGAAAGCGGCATGCCACCACCTTGGCTGTACTCGGTAACTCGCTTGCAAGCTTCACCTCCAGCTGGTCCATCTGCAGATACAGACAGCAACAATTAAAATATCAAGTATAAGAATATCAAGAGTCATACAGGGATTTGAAATATTTATTTGTCAACTCAAATGCAAAGCTTATAGGCGGTAGAGTTATAACTTGGGGTCTTGATAACATTAAAGTAGGGGGAAAATGGGGACTCACCATTTGAGGGACTCCAAATATGACAACATTGGAGTACTGAGCAAAACTGACCTAGAAAAAGAAAGAAAGAATTATGCAGTCAAAATAAATGAATTGTGGTGAGTCACAACATAGTATATTTAAATCATGTCTCACTGACCTTCCATAAGTCAGAGATGTGGAAGGAGGTGGAGCGGTGAACTCCCTCTCTAAAGGCCTTGTAGCGAGAATACCACACCAGCCAGGGGTTCAGCTCAAAGCCTGACGCCTTAAAGCCATGCTTAGCTGCTGCTATCACCTGCAAGAGGAAGGAGGGTGAAGGGAAATTCAATACATCACTAACAATATACAGCAACTGCAGCATCAGTTGGATGTAAAGCAAGTATGGTATTCATTTTGAGAGTATTATCTGATGTATTTTACATTTGAATTTGCAAGAGGTGGATTTTTTTTTTTTTATATATTAAGATTTCACTGGTTTTTAATGTGAAAACAACTAAACATAAACCAGAAAATGTAAGCTTGATATGAATTTTAGGAGAGATATAAAATATGTTTAATAGACATATTTTAGGCTAAAATGGCTCTGGAATAAGGAGATTCCTGCTTTTGTTTGTTTCAAATCATATTAAAATGAATACATTTGGATTTTGGCCTGACAAAACAAGACATTTAACTACACCAACTTGGATGGACCTTTGTTATTTATTACTTTTAATCATTTTCTTGCTTTTCTTTGCAGTTGTTTTGCTTCTTTTTGTAGTCTTTATGCATATGTTCCTGGTTGGTATTGTGGGAGTAACACTTTGTAGGTTATTGCTGGTGATAATGGGGAGATATCTTCAGCACACCATGCTGACTAAATCTCACTTTGCCACTGGTTTACCACAGGTTAAGACAACAAAGCACTTACTATCCTTCCATCTCCACTCCCGATGTCCACCAGGCGGCCTGTTCTGGCTCGCAGCACCCTGAGGACATTCTCCACCTGAGCCGTGGTGGCAGGGACGAACGGGAGGCAGACTTTCCTCAGGGCAGGGGCGACAAACGGAGTCGCTACTGCATACAGGGCGACCAGTGACCCTCCTAACAACCCAGTGACGACGAGACCAAGGTTACTCCTGCTCTTTTTCTCCGTTACCTGTCCTGCTGCTACTGAGTCCAAAAAAAGCTCCTCTTGTGACATGTTGCCAGCTTATTGGAAACGCAGTACGTTTAAATCATAGACGGTTTAAATCCGTAACTTTAGCCGCACTTGGACTGTATGAATGACAGCTCGGATTCGCCTTAATGTTAGCTGACCATAGCTACCTAACATAAATGTCATATATAAAATATATAATTTGTTGTGTCAAAAGCGAAAAACAAATGATTATTGGTCAAAGAATTAGCTAAAGAGAAAGTCCCACAAGTCTTAAAAGATGACCTGTGCGTCGCTCTAATGAGTCCGATAGGAAGACAAAGATAATTGGACGAAGGTTCCGTTCTGCTTTCGTTCCCTAGTAAATGCATACATAAAAATAATTGCAAATAAATGCACACACATTAAATGACAATGCCATGGTGCCATGCAGTGTAAAGGAAAAAGCTGATGTTTAATTAAATAAATAAATAGAGACAGCCATTTAACCAACATGGATAAATCATCCAGAAATAAAACGGGATTACATCAATAAATACTCACAAACACAAATAAATGGCTGACAAATGAATGAATGTATGACGTATCAATTTCCACAGGAGCGTTTCCAGAACACTGTGTATATTGGATTTGCAAAACAATATTTTGCAACAGGTTTCTTTGAGTGTAGACTTCAGAGTAATGACTAGATAGAATGTTTCCATGAATTGCTGTCCCTGATAATTACAGACTTTTCCTATATGGTTCTAAACATGTTCTTAATTTGGTGGTGCAATTATGTCATCCATGCAAAAAAATGTTCTCATATACAATGCAGTCATTCATATATCCTATTCCAGACTTTAAACAAGGAACAAATAATGAAAACAAGTGAAGTAGTATTTCTATTATAGTAGTGTGTGTTTCACAAACTTAAGTCCACTCTATTCATGTTGCAAACTATGTAAAACTTCCGGTTATTCCACTAGAGGGCCATACATGTAATGCATTATAAACACAGAATATACAATAATAATAAATACTATACATTACCCTTGCAAAAAATTGTCAGTGATTGACCATGAAGTATTATAATATTTTGCCATAAAATTAATTATAACATGCTTTATAATATGTTTTGATAACTGTTATAAATAAATACAAATATATATAGAGCAATAGGCAAACAATAAAACATAATAACTATGTTTATAATGCATTATAGACATGTGCATCTTATGTGCTACCACACTTCCATTTAATTTGAGGTATGAAAGCCAATAACGTTAACAGAAGCTGTGAAGAGGAGCATTAGGTTCTATAAATTAAACTGAAATGTAATTAAACAAAACAAATGTTCCCATCACCAGATTACAAATAAAGAGGGCGGGTTCTTTTTTTCCCTTTTTCTTACATTAGAAGTCATTAGACAGTGTACGGTGGACGGTATGGTCCTGCCCTGAAGTGCCATGGTGCATATGATGGTGGTACATGCGTTGCTGGCTGGTGGAGGGACCATCATCCATCATAAAGTCCTCATCCTCTTCTGCCCTGTACCCCTCTGCCCCATCCTGAGAGTAGCTATGCTTCATCATCAGGATGCTCCTGTGTCCTGCGGGTGTGGTATGTTGGGAGAGGTGCGGTGACTGTTGGCTGCCCATCCCTGGAGGCAGTGGTGGTGGCATGAGGCCCCCCCCGTCAGCCACTATGGTTGCGTCCCTCATGCTCAGGTTGCTGCGACTACCGTGGACACTGCCATGCATGCTCCCCGGGAAAGAGCCACAATGGTGGTCACGGATGCATTTGGAGGAGGAGCGTCGGAGCTTGTGAAATTTCTCATAGTCCTCGGCCATGGCGGCATCGTTCAGGTCGCCGGAGGGGGTGCGGCGCAGAGTGCAGAGCTCGTAGTGAGGAGGCTCAAAACCAGGGTGAAGGAGGGCAGGGTCAAAGTCATCTCTGTTAAGATAGTTAAAGGAAATCACACACAAACACACACACACACACACACACACACACACACACACACACACACACACACACACACACACACACACACACACGTTAATAGAGTTAATGTTCAGAAAAGCATTACAAACTTTCTCAAAACAGAACAGCAACAGAAATCTGAATATTAAAGCCAGGTTCAAAATGTTGGCTTCTTTTTGCTAGGGTGAGAGGTTTTAAGTGTTTTTCTACGTAAATAAAAATGTAGGCCACGAATGATTTATCAACAAACCACTCTGTAAAAATCGTTAGAATAGAGATACCTATAAAAACAATCGGTCATAAATATTGAATTTTGAAATAAGATATATGAAAATGTAACCTGCGAATTATGTATTTCTTGCGAGGCTGTTTGACCTGGATGATGACAGAGATGATGAGCAGGATAAGAACCAGGCCACAGGTGACGCCGATGATAGCCAGGTTAGTGCCATCCAGTGAGTCCAGAATACTGGCCTGCCTTTTCTCTAGTTAGGAAAATAACATACAAAATAATGACTTTATGTTCAGCTAGAGCCAACATATAGCTGTATGGCAGCCATTGTGTCAGGGTACCTTTGCAGTGATTCTCGTCCCATGGGAAAACACAGTTCTGGATACCGTTGCAGACCAGCGTTTGGTTGATGCACATGTTGCTATGGCAAAAGAAAGTTTCTCCTTCACATGGAGCTGAAAAAACAGAGGCAGGAGTCATGCCATGGCGCACAGAATATTGAAACATAGTCATTTTTAAATGTAGATAATTATATTCTATGCTTGGTCACTTGGGGGAAGGACAACAAGCTAAAAGACAACCTATTATAACCTTTTACTGAACAATTGCCTATTGATTTAAACAAACTGTAAAAACTGAGCCACATTAATTTGGTTTGGTTAATAAATGAATGCTTGGATTCCTATTTTTCTCGATTCAATAGGCCTTGATCAGATTTTTTTTATTCATCCTATCCTATTTCATCATTTGCCTTGGTGTAAACATTTATCTTTCAATGTGGGCAAGTGAACATGTATTTAAGTATGGCATTTACATTTGATATTCATATTTGTGATTTGGGCTAAAACACCTTTTCAATAAATTACAAGAATGTTCCGGGGTTGCGATGTTTACTGAATTGGAAGATGGAATCGTTCATCGGGCAGCCCAACCCCCAAATAATATTGAGATAAGTAACCAAAAACGCCACTGGAGAAGCTACAATTAGATTTTTGTGACCATTGTCAAGCATAGCCGGTGCACCGGTAAAAAGAAAGCTTGCAGGTATATAGATTCACTCACGCTCATGGAAAGTTGTAAAGAGGATCCTGAATTTGCTCTTCCTGCTACCCTCATCTGCCCACAGCCTCACCACGCCCACAGAAGACACCAGCATGACATCGTTGGCCACCGTGGAGCAGAACTTATTCTTCAGGTGCTCAACCGAACTGCTGCCGTCGTAGATGGCAACGAAGTTACGCTTGCACTCGTTCGAGTTGTGCATCTCATATTCCAGGAAACGCAAGTAGATCTGTGGGTAAAGAGCTTTGATGTCAGTTACTGCTCCTGGCTTCCCAGCTAGCAGGGAACGTTCTCACAACTTTGGCTAACGTTACCTACAGGTTCTAATACTTTTTTTAAGAAACGTTTTAATCTGATGTTCAAAGAACCTTTTTGAGGATGTTTATTATTTCAAATAATGTTCCTATAAGGTTTAAGGTTAACTAAGACATAACGTTTTAACTGCAACGTTCAGAGGATGTTTTGAGGATGTTATTAAGGCCTGAGATGACAGAAAGTTTTTTATAAAACGTTCTTTTAATGTGATATGTTAACAAAAGTGGAACGTTTTGCCTGCAACATTATAAGGATGTTTTTTGGACGTTGTTGAGGTAACACATTAAAGATGTTCTTTTATAAAACATTCCCTCAATGTTACATGATAACAAAAGAAGATCATTTTCAAAGCAACATTCGGATAATGTTTTCCGGAGGTTATTCTTTTTTTATAAAACGTTCCTGTGATGGCAAATATTAACACGGTCATGGTCAACGTCAGATTTATTTGTAGAGCGCTTTAAAAAACAAACTTGTTGCATTTGTTTGAGAAGGATGTTTAAAAAAATCTGATGTCACCATATTTTCCTTTTGAAAAAAACAAACAAGTACGTAATTCATGATAAACTGTAGGCAGATATTGCATGTTTGCGGTGGCATGTGTGAGTTCCCAGCTAGACATTTTTGGTTCTAAAAACATTCTGAGAATGTTACCATTCATTGTTCTAGGAATGTTTTCAGCAGGAAATGTTTCTTTGTTTGAAATGTTCTTCTGAAAGGTAGGATAACGTTCTTTAAAAGCATTCTTGAAATGTTTGGTGATAACCTTCTTAAGATGTTTTTGATAACATTGTTAGAACATTATGCCCTACTATTCTTAAAACGTTTTCAGCGGGATGTTTTATTTTGGTTCCCAGAATGTTCTTCTGAAAGGTAGGATAACGTTCTCTAAAAACATTCTTAACATTTTTGGTGATAACTTTCTTAAGATGTATGAGCGCATTGAGACAATGAATAGGACGTATAAAAACGAATTTGCATGCCAATATTCCCTCACATGCACTTCTAATCACACTAAGGTTTATAGGCCCACAGTATTCATAATAGCATTATGTGTAAAATATCAGAAAATAATCACACTTTTTTTCTGACTATAAAGGTTGTGTCTCGTATGTAGGTTCTAACTGTTCGATAAGCTATCTGGCCGTGTGTGGTTTGTGAGGGCTGCGTATAAACAGTGTCCACTGTTTATGCATATTGGATAAAAATCGTTATTGCACCCTTTAGATTTGAGACCGACAGACATATAGAAGAACGGACCGACTGTCACTGCCCGTCCCTGAAACCCCTGTTAGTGTAGGTATGTGTTTGTTTCTACTGTGTGTCTCTCTCTCTCTCTCTCTCTGTCCCTCCCTCCCTCCCCCCCCCCCTGCCTGCTGGTCTGCTCGACACGGCTGGGAGCAATCTCCAATCAACCACACCTGCAACCTGCTCATCAGCCACACTATGAAAGCCTGCAGCCTGCACTCATTCCCTGCCGGATTGTTGCCGTGAAAGGTTTGTTGCGTGCCGCTCAAGCTTTTTGCCAGCAGATTTTTCGACAACTTTGCCTGCTTTTGCCTCACACTGATTTGTGTGTCTCTCCCAGGAGGAATCCAAGGCCTGCCACACTCTCAAGACCAGCCAGGCCTCTCCACCCACCCTGGAACAACTGTTTCCCACTGCTGCCATAACCAACCTCCACTCCCAGCTCCCCTTTTCTAATAAACAAATGTTACGCTCACCAGCTGATTCCAAGTCATCCTTTTACATGTGTTAATAGTCAAATTCCAATAGTTAAGTAAACTATCAAAATCATCCTAGTGACCACAGTGGTCAGTCCACTTACCCAGGAATTTTGAGTTGAATAATTACAGGAATATTATGTCTTTATGTTCTAATAATGTTAAAATATTTTAGTAAATTGTTACCACAGAACATTTGCATAATGTTTTAAAAGTAAAGCACGTTATCCTACTCTAAAATAATAACATTCTGGCAACATAAGAAAATCTAACTTGAAGCTGAAAACATTTTAAGAACAGTAGGGCATAATGTTCTAACAATGTTAACAAAAACATTTTAAGAAGGTTATCACCAAACATTTTAAGAAGGTTTTTAGAGAACGTTATCCTACCTTTCAGAAGAACATTCTGGGAACCAAAAGAAAACTTCCCGCTGAAAACATTCCTAGAACAGTGAATGGTAACATTCTCAGAATGTTTTTAGAACCAAACATTTCTAGCTGGGTTATCCCTCATTTGTTTTTCCGCATTTCTAGCAAAAGCTTTGACGATGGACTGATTTTAAAGAAATATAAGACATTTTAACAACGGCCAATCGACTTTTAGTCTTACGTTCATCTAGTTCTAGTGACACCAACATTACCTTGGTCAAATCCTTCGCTTCGTGGCTTATGCTAACACTTACGCAAATAAAAACTAGGTTAAGGGCTAAAACTAAATGGAAAAGTTAAATGTTATAAACAAATAAGGGTTATCAAGAAATGACATGTTCCAGCAACACCATCACCAGCACCACCACATAGCAAGACCAAAACAGTTCAAGACAGATACGGACCCTAGCTCTTGGTGGAGCCTTGATGAACCACCTGCAGTCTACAGCCTCAGTCTGCAGCGCTCGGCTCTCCCCGGCTATCTGGCCTGATTCTACAAAGCCTTCTGGACCGCTCAGCTCAAACTCACAAACTGTGGAATACAATATTTAAAGTAATGTTAGTTTTAAGGCCTAATAAATAAGGACTCAATCACAAAAAATGTATGCATTTGTATGAACTTAGTAAGCAGTATCTATTAAAGCTCTAATTATGTTGTGACTTAATAATACAAGTAAAATCCTTACATGGCAGAGCTGGCAGTTCCCCAACTCCAGTGAACTCTGGATCTAAAAGCAGAAGATAAACGTGTTAGAAATAAAGAAATATTTGGGACATTAATGGAAGTCTTTGAACAGTTAGGGGCAACCTTTAGAAAAAGAGTTGCATGGAAAAAATTGAAACAATTTCACAGATTACCTCTATGCAAAATGCTTTTTTGATGTATAACGTAATGTCCCAAATCAAACGTATTACTAACTTATTGTTGTTTTAATTTTTAAACTAAACATTGGAGAAACGTTTCATTCAATTAATAATGTATATTTTATCCACATTCCTAGTACAATTAAACCTGATTGAGAATCACCATGTAGATATAATCCATTTATTCCATTTGTTATCTCAAATTTGGAAACCTTGTATTTGCAATATGTGCATGTGTCCATGCAACGAATAGTATCTAAGAATAGACACAACAAAAATCTAGTCCAAAAAAAATACACAAAACAAAACTGATAAAACTAAAGACATATTGCAGAACAAAATAAAAACATCTGGCCAAGGCTTACATAATCTATGTACCAGTACATTCCCTCTGCCCTCATTTAAACTCCCCCGATGCCCTTCTTTGAAAAGAAAAACACACACTTGGCCTCGGACAGGCAAGAGAAATTGTTTTAAACCTTTGTGCTGATGAATCTACTTGCTAGGTGGATTATAAACCCTGATATACAGGCTTAGTCCAGGACAGATTAGGCCCCGCCAGCAGTGACAACCTGGTAAAAAAAAAAGTCTACTCTCTTTATTTTGTTTTCTAAATTCTTCTGGAAGTACAGTTTGAATGCACACCTCAAAACTAGTCAATACTATGACATATACAATTGGAACAAAAACAATTGTTTTAAAGGATGCAGCAGGGCTGGAAGAAGAATGTTTATTTTTTTAAGTGATACTTTTTCATACCTTGAACTTTTTTCAATAGTAACTAAGCAAATGTGTCAGTCAGTAGGTATAATCGAAGAAAGAAAACAGGTGATGGAGTCCACTGAGGCTCACATCAAGAAGGACTTTTATTAATCCCCACATGTTTCTTACCCCTGCTCCAGGCTTGTCCAGATTATTCCCATTCATTCCTCTGTGTGCGTGCGTGTGTGCGTGTGTGTGTGTGTGTGTGTGGTGTGTGTGTGTGTGTGTGTGTGTGTGTGTGTGTGTGTGTGTGTGTGTGTGTGTGTGTGTGTGTGTGTGTGTGTGTGTGTGTGTGTTGCAATAATGCATTCCCAGAGGATTTATACCCAATATGAGAAAAACATGTAAAATCAGATGAAGGCGCAATATAGGATGGTTTGTGTTAATCCTCCCTTAATATAATTCAGCTAGAAGGTATGTGGCACAAACCAGGACATTGTGGATTAAAACAACATGTATACTAAACTAACATGGAATCATATCAAATAGTGTGAACCAAAACCAGACGCCAACAGATGAAACAATTGCAGGCCAAAACAATCAACTGAAATAAGCTAACACGCTCCGAACTGCATTTAGATTAAATTAAATGTGTGAGTACATTACTACAAAGAAACCTTTCACGGACAATAGCCATGTGATCCATTGTTCGAAACTACTTTACATACAAGGAGGAAAAGATTCTGGACTGATTTATTGAATGAAGCTGAAACAACACATGACAACAGACTCTCTGAAGTTTAGTTTACCTCTCGCAACATACATTAACTTACAAAAACTTCACAGCATACCTTTACATTTGGCTTAAATTCTTGTAAACTCACAAAAGTCAGCATAAACAAGAAGAAGCATGCAATAATAATACAGTCTCTGCTAAAAGCAAGACACTGGTTGTGACTGCATTGTGTAACTAAAATTCACAGAGCCACTGTAAGGTGATATTTTTACTTCTCTTGTGCACACAATGCAATGCAATGCTTCTTTCAAATACTACAGTCCTAATTATATGTGTATATCTGGAATGATGTAATTATCTCCTGCCAGTAATGAGTAGAATTAGATGGGAGATTAGCACTTGGCAATGGGGACTCATTACATATGATGTAAACGGATAGAAATCAGCTTCTCCTGATCTGCCAATAATGAAACAAATCTTCTTAAAGGGGAAATAGTATTTGCTTAAGATTTTCAGCTTCCGAAAATATAAATGCTTATTTATGATTATAACTTTATAAACACTGGAATGTACAGATGGAGCCTCTTATTTTGGACCCCAGCATACAGCTTCCTGCCGACTGCCAGCCAGTTGCCAGCCAGTTGCCTGCCAAAGACCAGTATTCAGGAATGTTAGGCCCTCCCACTATTCTCCAATTTCAGGGTTTAACCAGGAGATGGCGCTATATATTAAATAACTAAGACTTAGTTTTTCACAATAGAAAATGCAGATATTATATAAAAAACTAAAGTTAAAATCTTGTTTTTAATGCCCCAAGAGCAATAACATCTTGTCACAAGCTTTTTGGAAGAAAAAGACTGACTCAAGAGACCTGTAGTTGACTAATTACAGGCCTCAATAAAGTTCTGCCATTGGTTGTGAAAAACAACGGTGGACATAGTGGAAAGTGAAATTGACATTGTCGAATTTAATAAAAATACAAAATAATGTATCTGTGTACGTGTTTTACTATGTCTAATTTCTAATGTCTTATCTAATTAAGGCGAGACACCCCAGGTGAATAGGGTATTTTTAACTTAAAGATATCAGCTAAATATTTCTCCAGTTAATTACTTACAATAAGGCAATTGTTTTTTGTATTACAAGTTTTCTGAAATAGCATGTTCAAATATGCAAATGAACCATTATCTCATGAAATATGCGCATATTTTAACACATTTCAGGAACCGAAATCTGAACTTTGGATAAAGCCAGGATCAAAATTATTGTTTCATTTTGTAGTCATATTAGTATCTAAGGCTTTTACAGAAGGGATTTTGGATATCTCTTTGTATCACTCCATAAATCAGAAAATACTGTCAACAGCCCTAAAATATCAATTTTCACCATGTTTTTAGGTATAAAATGTTATATAATTCAGGCTATGAATTATATATGACCAAACCCTTCTGTAAAAGCCTTCATAATATTGATAGGAATATAACTGGAAGGTTTGGTGTATGTAACTGCTGAGTGATTCTACAATTTAGGGTACATTCCATGTCCATTGATGTCCATTGATGATAATTATAATTATTCTAACTATTTTCTTCAAAAATATCATATTTTGCCTATTATTGGAAAGCATGTTATAATATCACACAAACATTATGTGCATCCTATGCTTTATTTAGCTTGAAATGTGTCATGATGTTCTTAAATTGTCAGTTTTTGCTATGTCCGTTTTTCAGTTGAGGGTGTCTTGGATTCAAAATAATGAATAAAAACCATTAAAGTAAATTTAAAAAATGATTCATTTATTTCAAAAGTCTAAATACTAAAGAATAATAACATATTTTTAATTGATTTCCCCCTTTCAATAATTTAAATATCTTAATATATGAATGTCCGCAAAAGTTCTGTCAACTATGTTACTAACAGAACTTCCCCCTTTAACTCAAAAATTGTTTGTCCCAATACCATGTCACCAGCATCACATGATGCCATGTTCCTCTTTGGCAGACATTTTGAACACACTGTGGTGATTGTCCTCTACATTTTTACAATATTTTATGTATAATAGCACATGGTCAATTAATATACTCATTGACAATCAACAATGTTACGTACATTGTTATGGTTTACAATTGTTTAATGATTTTAATTCAATTATATGTGCAAATGTGATGTTAACCTGTTCAAGAAAATGACATGTGGTCATCCAGGCAAGGCCTACCATTGAAATGATGGGTCAAAATAGGGAAATTGTCAACTAGGTTACCTGTCAACTGAGTTACCCAGTACTGTAATAACTGTAGTAACTTAGTTGACAGGTAACCTAGTTGACAATTTGTACGACATGTAGACGTCATTACACATCATTATCAATGGAATTTTGCACTTCTGCCTTGAAATTAACATATTGCTGATGGTTAATAATGTGTCCAGTCAACTATGTTATCTGCGTCAAATGTTTGACTTTCATTGTCAACTATGTTGCACCTCATTTTTTCAAATTTAAAATATCTAAAATAGTGCTTCTGATATCCTTTATAGTATAATGTATATCTACACAGGTTGGAGTTTTACATGACATCTCTTAAAACTATCAAAATGACCTGTATGGTAGTTTTATAATACAAAATATCCCTAAACTTAATGACAGTGCTGAACATATCACATGAAAAAACAAAACTTTAATACAATTATTTTTTAAACTTTAAAAAATCTTTGGATATATGGTAGAATAGACTCAAGAGCCTTTCAAATTTGATTTTACTTGAAGTGCAGGACTTAATCAAATGATTGTAATGACATCAAGTTTGTCCGTAACATAGTTGACAAACTGAGTAGTGAAAACATCCTTTCCCTTAAAATAAAAAAATATATAAAAATGTTTAAGCTTTGCAACTAGTGGATATGTTACACTGAGGAATATACTAACTTGAACCACTGATTGTTCTATCTATACATTTTATTTGGCATTAGTAAATAATTATGCACATTTACAGATATTTTACATGATATGAGTGATAACACGTGTTATAAGGGCTATTTCGCACAATAGGTGTGCCTTGAGATTTTTACTTGTCCTTTGGTGTGCCTTGGGCACAAAAAGTTTGGGAACCACTGCTGTAGAGAAATGTAAACGTTCACCATCCCCCACCCGCCTACTGTATGTTGCTTTTTGACATGTAAATGGATAACTACCCCCCTCTGAGTGAATACCTGTTGTACCTGTCCGGGGCTTAGCCCATAGGACGATGCTCTGATGTCATCACCCTCGCACATTGGTCATATGTTTACAAAAAACGATGTTAACACTTTCTCGTTCTTAATATATGCTATATTTAGGGTCGATATGTGTTGAATTTACTTTAAAATAGCAGATCACTGTGATTCACTTCTCCGCGGCTCCTCCGTGCAGAGAGGCGTTGACAATTCACG